GAGAATCTGGACTGTAGAGGTACTTGTCTTGTTATGAGCATGGCATTGATGCCAACAGGGCACACTGAGATTCTTGTGTCCTCAAATAAAAATATTAGACCAAGGACACAGATAATAACAGAAATAGAGACCATTATAAAGAAAGAGAAGGACACTCCCAAGAATAAATGTGGTCTAGGGAGCTGAGACAGGTCCAAGGCTCAAAAGCTCCTGGTTCACAGATTCACAAGCCTTTGTAGTTCCTTCATAAAATGCTGCCTTCTCCCACGTTAGAACAATGGATGCTTTTTTTTGGCATATGCTCTGTCCTTTACAGTAGCCCCAAAGAGGAAGGGGTTTCCAGTTTTTCTGCCAATTTGCTTATTTCATTAGTTAATCTTGGTGCCTTTCTCATGGCTCCCTGCTTTCCTGCCACAGACCACAGATGGGGCATCACTGTGTACTGTGTAACGGCTCCTTCCCTGACTGCGAGCATCTGGAAATCTCTTCTTTGTAGTGTAAAACAGTGTAGTGTCCACATGTCATAGTGCTCCGCATGAGGTCTGCATGTTCAGTGGAGCCCAGCTCATCCTCAGCACTGCATAAGATGTTCTGCTGTGATTTCCCTTTTCCTAGAGAAGACCCATCCGTTCTATGCTTGGAAATGTGAGCATGAGCTTCCAGGGGCACCCGGGGGAGGGAGAGTCATTTTCCTTGGGAGCTACGGTCTGCACTAGGTTACCTTTGTTCTACTGGACCTCCTCAAACCTGTGATCACAGGAGCAGCAAGAATTGGCTCAGCGGGCTAAAACAACACACAAAGCGGACATAAAGCTGAGAGGGACATATGTTGGTGGCAAGTCCACTGTTGAGTAAAAATCCATCATTTGATAAAAAATTAGTCATACGAGACAGCTACATTATAGCCACTGTATCTGAGGGAAAATATGCAAAGTAGAAAGACTCCCTGAAGTAACTGAGACCTTAGAAGAGCAGAGAAGGGCTTTGAAGTTAACAAAACCCAGTTCTGAAAAATGCAAGGAGTAGACAAAACAGCCTAAAAGCAAAAGTGTATCCATTCAATTAACAGAGAGAACCATCTCTACATTCCACACAGAGAACACTGCAATCTCTGAAATGAAGAACTCGGTGGATGCGCTTAGCAACAAGTATCAGACTGGGGGAGACACGGAAGAAAAATCAACATCAACGGGAAATATTCAGCTGTAACTTGTATCAATGTAGCTAGGTCCTTACTTAAGAAAAAATAAGGAAATACATGTAGGGAAATGGGATCTTTAAAAGGCATCAGTGTATATTAGGATGTGTTTTCCTCCCAGGGTCTCAATGTCGGAAGGGTCTTATCCTCCACACGGGTCTATGTCTCTAACATTTGGGTTCGTTGCAAAACACGCTTTGATTGAAATATGGATTAGTGGCTGGGAATGGTGGTGCAAGCCTGTAATCCCGGCACTTGGAGAGGCAGAGGCAGGTGGTTTACACACTATCTAAACCAGAGCCAGCCTGGTTTACATAGTGTGTCCAGGACAGCCAAGGCTACACAGAGAAACCCTGCCTCAAAAAAAGAAATATGGATTAATAATAAATGAAATTCAGGACTCATTTGTGGTCTTAAAATGGAACCCAGGGCATCACACATGCTAAGCAAACTCTCCCACTAACAATTTATTAACTTACTTGTTTGTTTGTTTATGTTTTATTGAGACAGTTATCTCTATGTAGCCCTGCTTGGCCTGGAGCTTACCACGTGGTCCAGGTTAGGCTTGAACTCAGACATCCATGTGCCTCTGCCTGGGATTAAAGGTGTGCACCACCACGCCCAGCTTCTCCCACTACCTATAGGTAAAGCCATATGTTGTCCAGAACTTTCCCATAAATATTCTTGCAAAGTCTAAATATATCAACAAAAGAGGAGACAGACGAAAGCAAGAATGTGGGACAGTCATCACCATGAAGTGCATGTTCAGGGTACTGTCATTTTCTCAGTTCTCTAAACTTGTGATTCTGAACGTTTCTGTGAGGCATACTTAAAATCTAAGTAGGGTGCTGTTGTGTCTCAGAGCCCCGAGGACCTTTCTTCTGGGTTTTCTCTGGTGCACCCAGACTTGAACACCCCGCTTCTCACGGCTGAGCAGACGCAGCTTCCTTGTGCACACCATACGGCCTGCTACTGACTCCTGCATTCTCAGCCTCTAAATCTCTGACTCCTGCATTCTCAGCCTTTAAATCTCTGACTCCTGCTTTCTCAGCCTCTCTCACTGACTCCTGCTTTCTCAGCCTCTGTCTGACTCCTGCATTCTCAGCCTCTCTCACTGACTCCTGCATTCTCAGCCTCTCTCTGCCTAGGATGTCTCCAAGAGGCAAGGTCTGTGGACCCACTGTAGCCTGGGAAGTACGTATCATTATCTGCCCTTTTGCAGGGGAGGGGATTCAGTTCAAAATGCAGCCTCTCACCCAGTTAGTCCAGAACTCTGTACTTTGGAAAGTAAAACTAACCCTTTGAATTTAATTTAGCTTGGATCTTCATGATTATGTTCAAACAGCAGGGCCTTGGAGGGCAGACTGCCATCAGCATTTGCTTGTCCCTGTGGGAAGCAGGTCAGGTAATACAGTGGCAGAAAGCTGAATTAAGCGAGGTGTTGTGGGGATAATGGAAAATCATGCGTGCCCCAGAGCTGAGGTCAATTATCCAGGGTAATAAAAACGTTAAAAATTAAAGAAAGTGGGATTAAGTGTTGGAGTCAGGTCCCTAAAATAACAAAATAAAGCCACAGATACAGTGGACTAATCTGTTCCAGAAAGAAAAATTATTTATCTCCCTGTACTTTGGTGGGAAGAAAGAAAATTATCAAAGAAATTATATATATATATTTTTTTTAACACATGTGCACATGTGTGTATATGAGTGTGTGTGTGTGTGTAAGGTAGCTTTTCCCTCTGAGGGATCTTTGACATAGAGAAAAGGGGTTTAGAGTGTCCACATTTAAAACAGTCATTTCATAAGGATTCCACTTGCCCACTTACCTTCTATCCTGAAAAACATTCTGATGCGGCTCATAAGTTAATCAAAAATTTTCAAAAAGCGAAAAACAACAACTTTTATGCAGCTACATGTTGGAGGTGGCCTGAAGGCTGGCTGGGTCTAAAGGGAAGAGAGGGAGAGGCAGAAGGCTGGGGGGTTCCAAGTGGACCGCTGGTCACTATCTAGGATACGCAGCCGCCATAGAGCACTAAGCCAGAGCGTCTGTGGAAACAGCTTGCTCCGCTGTTATAGAATAAGCCTGTGGGGACTGGCTCGAAGGTAACAGTTACAGGCAGACTCTCATCTGGGGACATCCATGGTTAAGGCCTAGGCCGCCGCCGCCACCTCCTCCTCCTTCTCCTGCTCGTTCTCCTCCTGCTTGTCCTCCTCCTCTACTTCCCCTTCTCCTCCTCCTCCTCCTCCTCCTCCTCCTCCTCCTCCTCCTCCTCCTCCCCTCCTTCCCTCCCCTCCCCTATCCTACTTGCCTGGCACCAGATCTGGATAAGCATCTTTGGGTCTAAGTCAGACAGGATGCCCTAAAATGTCAAAGGCCACTGGCACCAGACAGTCTTTTCCCCATGCAGAAGCTCTGGGTTCCAGCCATTCCCTCCATCTGATTTCCAAACTTCCTTTTGCTAAGCATTGCTGTCAATATGGGAATGAATAAGTTTCATCTTCATGAGGAAAATGGCCAGTTCAGAGAGTAACTGTTTTTAAGTTTATTAATCATATCAACACATTCATTAGGGTTTAAAGTATGTAGACAGGTATTTTCTCAAATATTTATGTTTACTGATAATTAAGCACACACATAATCCAAGAAAAATTTTCACTGTTTCTACAGGCATTGTTTTTGTTATATTTCTAGGAGATCAAGATACCCAATATATGTTTCCAGGAGAATTTTTCCCATGGAAATAGAAATAATGTTACCTTTGATTTAGCACCTGATATATGTATAGATGGTATTTGAAAGTAGTTTTATTTCATTGGTGTCTCCTTTTCCCCCAGAAAATGTTGACAAGTATTAATAAAACACAATATGACTTATAAACACAACATTGTTAAGATGGCCGACAACAGTGACGACATAGTCCAGGGGACAGCCATGCTTGTTGTTCACTGGGAGCTACGTCCCTCTATTTGGAGTCAGTGTCTTTCACTGTGTTAGAGCTCACGGCACAGGCTAGGCTGGCTGGCCATCAGACTCCAGGGACCTGCCCATTTCTGCCTGCATGGAAGCGCACACTTCACTGTTATTTGGTCCTGGTTTGTCTGCTGTTTCCCTTCTAGACACTAAAGCAATGGGGGAGGGGTGGTCCAGGGCTGTTTCACTGCTTTCCATGTGGAGGCAACGAGTTGGTGGCAACGGAAATTCTCTGAGATTTATAGATTTCTAATCCTATCTACTTTGTTGACATTCACAAATCTCGTTCTCTACCCAGTGATCTCAATATGTATATCACAAAGATCTCGCAAGAGCCCTGCCCATGGCTTTGGCTCCCAATGACCTGAACATACTGTACTTGCTACGGGTTCCACTGGGCTGTGTATACTGGACTTCTTAGAAGTTACATACAAGTTATCAAGGGGCGTTAACTGATCAGTTCATTGATCGATTGGTATGTGATGAGTGTGTATTTGTGAATGACATGTAGCTGTTGGGGGAGGGGTAGAATACATGCCACAACACACATGAGGATCTCAGAGGACAGCCTCCAGCATCGGCTCTTCCCTTCTATGTTGGTGGAAAGAAGGTCCCTTTGAGATTAGTCCCTGTGAACTAGCTGGGCCTGGAGCCTTAAGGAATTCTCCTGTCTCCATTTCCATCACACCAATGGAGCGATGGGATTGTGGGATTGCTTTCTACCACATCCAATTGATGCGGGTTCTGAAGAGCCTATCTCAGGAGCTCATATCTGCACTTGAAGAGTTTCACCTCTGAGCCAGCTCCCTAGCGCTGACTAAACGGCATGACTCAGGGGTTGTCTGAGCAGCTGTGTTTCTGGGCCTGTTGGGGCCCGCCGGCCCTGCATCTCACTACGGAGCAGAGTGCCTGCTGGAAGTTATTGCTGACCACCACGTACAGCAGCAGGTTGCCGAAGGTGTTGAGGGCGGCCAGCGGCTTAGACACAATGTAAGCTTTGTGGATGTGGCTCTCCATGGCGCAGCTGATGGAAAGCAGGCGAGACTCAATCCGAATGACCCTCAAGATGTGGAAGGGTAGGAAACATATGTAGAACACAAGGAGGAGCAGAACGGTCAGCCTTCGAGCCTTCTGCTTGAAGCAGCTGTGGGTCTGCGGCCCATGAGTGAGGGTGCTGATAATTGTTGTGTAGCAGAGTGTCACTATTGCCAAGGGAAGGCAGAAAGTCGTGGCAGTCAAAACAAGATTGTACCATTTGATAGTAGTGAGGTCATCTGAACTGGTCAGGTCAAGACAAGCAGACCTGTTGGTCCGGGTGGTTGATGTGATCAGGAAAGTCATGGGCATGACAGCTACCAAAGAAATGACCCAGACCCCAGCACAAGCCACCACTGCCCACCGCGTCTTCTGAATAGAAAAACAGCTCATGGGGTGAATGATCACAATGTAACGGAAGATGCTGAAGCAGGTGAGGAAGAGGATGCTGCTGTAGAGGTTGAAATGGAAGCCAAATCGGATGAACTTGCACATGAAATCCCCGAAGACCCAGTTCTCGCCACTTGCGTAATAATGGATGAGGAAAGGGAGGCTGGCCAGGTACAGCAAGTCCGTCAAGGCCAAGTTGAGCATGATGATGGTGCTGCTCTTCCAGGGTCGCATCTTGAAAATGTAGATGGAAATGGCCACCGAGTTCCCCGGGAAGCCCACCAGGAAGATGATGCTGTAGATGACAGGAAGGTACTGCATCTTGAATATTTGCTCGTCAGTGCAGTTTCCCAAAGCAACGACGTAATCCAGGGAGTCAGAAAAGTTGGCTGGACTGTCCAGTGGCTCATTCATGGCTCCTTTCTTTTATCTCGCAAGAAAATGGAAGAGTTCAGTTCGGCCAGGAGAGTCCAGTGAAAATAAACGAGCTGATCAACGAGAGCAGAAAGCATTAATGAAACCAATTATCAGCATGTTGGACCGGCACATCACTTCTTTCTTTCTCTTTAATTTCTAAAGATGCCTGTGAAGGAGACTGAATCCCATGAAAGCATTGGCAGCTCCAAGCCAATAAGATGCCCTGTTACAAAATGACAGAGTTGATGGTGTTTGAGGAATGACACCCACATTCAGCCTCTAACTTCCACATGCACAGGCCCACATGCACAGGTGAACAAATGCACACACACACAAACACACACACGGTACAGAATCACAAAGCTGTCATGAATTGCAACACTGTAGGTGGGGTAGATTCAAAGTCAAATTTCAGCTCTCCCAATCCACTTTAATTGCTTTGAAGAAGTGTTCCTGTGTGTTTATGGTGGGTTCACTAGAATGATGCAGTAGCTAAGAGCCTGGATGCCAAAGTCATATGGTTGATGTCCACCTTAGTCATTTTGCCACCATGAGCCCTTTCACTCTTTAGGTCTGGGTAGGCCACCATATTACCCATTTTCCTCTGGCTTCTCTGACATTCCTTTAAAAAAAGTTTGACAGCAAATTTAATATAGCATTGTGATTATGATTATGAAGACGTATATGAGCTTATTATTTGAATGTAAATACTTTAGATGTAAAAGATATCCACTTGCATATTTGTAGCACACCCACTGTGTACTAATTAAGCAGTTTTCCAGCTCCAAAAGCTGAATACGCACAAATTTATTAACTACTATGAAAGTCTGAAGCAGAAGATGGACATGGAAAATATAACTTTACACCAGGTAACAAACATTATGTGTGTGTGTGTGTGTATTTTAAAGTAACAAGAAAAAATGGTGTATATCCAATAATAATATAATAAACACTCAATAAGGTTAAGTGGTTGCTAAGCAGTAAATCATTTGTTAGATCATAGGTCAAGACTCCTGAAATCACAAAAAGAGAACCAGAGGGGACGCTACAGAAAAGTCACTGATGTGGGAATATTTTACCGGAAAGCAGCAAGAAGGAGGATTTTTTTTTTTTCTAATTGAATGTCTTAGTTGGAGTTTCTACTGCTATGACAAACCACGATGGCCAAGGCAGGTCATAAATGTGCTTAACTTAGTGCTTTTGTCTCAAAGGGTTAGAGTGCATGAAGGCAGAGTAAAGGAACTCTGACAGGAAAAGCCTAGAGCTCTGATTTTGACAGGTTGAAGGTGAAGATGGGGGATGGGAGAAAGGGTGCTAGAGCTAACTGAGAACGCTTTTTTTGAGTCCTTAAAACCAGTAAGCTCACCCCCAATTACTTACCTCCTCCAACAGCCCACATCTCCTAATCCTTTCCAAACATTTCCACTAATTAGGGACTGGTGTTCAAATATATGGGCCTATAAGAGCCATCACCTTGTGAAGTGGCAGTGCTCACTGTCTGCTGTTGAACTCTCTATTCTCTGACACTGAATGTACCCCATCAGCCATTTTTTCATACTGCTGTACTAATGCTTTGAGACTGGCCCACTTAACAGGAGCAGGAATCAGCAGAATTCTCCCTTGTTCTCTGGTCTCCGTTTTACTTTTGCAGATCTCACTTAGCACAGAGCAGAACAGAAAGCACTTTTAGGTTTATTAATTCTATTCTGTGATATGCTGGAAAAAGAATAGTCCAAGGACAGGGCACGTGCCTCTGGTTGGTGCTAGGATTCAGAATGTCTAGAGGATGGTTCCCCCATGGCCCTGCACTGCCAGTGGGAAAAAAAGGCTTCTCCCGGGATGGGGAGCTAAACCTAAATGAAGAGATAGTCACAGAGCCAGTACTTCAATTCTGGAATCAAACCCAACAGAACAGCAAAGATGCTGGAGCCAAAAAGGCACCGTGGGAGATTCCCCTCTGTCAAATGCCTTGTATGGGTCTGTGCACAAAGAGCAGGCAGTTACTTAAGCCTGAGCAGAAATGATTCTAGCTTGGAGTCCCTGCAATCCTTCCCTCCCTCCAGGAGTTCTTGTCAAAGGCCGTCCACCTGCTCAGGTTATTTCTGGAGCAAATATATAAAGACTGTTTTTGTAGTACCCCAAAGAATCTTCTACAATATTTCATTCTCATTGGAATTTGGCTCAAGAAAGAGGGGTGGAAGAAGAAGAGAGAAGGAGGAGGAAGAATAGAAAGAGGAGGAGAAGGCAGAGAAAGAAAGAGAGGGGGAGGGAAGAAAGAAAGGACTAGAAGGGAGAATTCCAGTAGAAATAGTTAGTCTGTTATTCTTTGAATGTAGAACACAAGTCACTTCATCCTGGCACAATGACACGCAGAGGGCGTCAATGAATATTTGTTGAATATGTTAAAGAACAATCAGCAAAATCAGCAAAACATTTAAACGCTGAGGAATGAGGAAGGCAGTGACTATTGCTTTAAAAAATAGAACTTGGCTCTTTAAGAACTTGAAGTATGAAACAGAATTACAACTCTTATCTTGGCCAAATAGCCCCCAGGTGATGTTATGAGGACATTTTAAACAACAATCAGATCAGGGAAAGGCAAGTTGTAGGTAGACACAACCACCTTCATGTTTTGCAAAACAACAGCTCAGCTTGGCATTTAATGGAGGCTGATTAACTGGGAGAGAATGGGGGCTGCATACAAAACCGAAACTTCCATAAAACCTCACCGAAATTACTACTAAGTTTACAAAACATGTGTTACATTCAAAATAGCACACAGAAATCAGCCTGGGCTGTGAGCAATTAAGGATGCAGGTTTTCGCCCTAAGCCTAGGGCCCTCACACCTCACTACTACAGTCGGTGGGATCTGTGATCCACACGCGTGTTAAACTCAGAGGATGTGCGGAGATAAGACGGCAGCACCCCAGGGACAGGCCCATCTTATGCCATGATGGTGCTCCCCAAACTTGACTCGGCTAACGGAGTTGGAACCACCGTGCTCATCATTACCAGGAAAAGGTGATGCAGTGGGTGTCAGCGCTGCAGATTGTGTCACACCCGGATGAGTGTTGAGTGAGGGAAAGCAAGCACCAAGAGAATATCCCAGTTTTGTGGAGAATACCTCTCTGAGACCAGGAAGATACTTCACTCTTTGAGGCTAGCGGAAGAACATGTTTTACAAGGACCTTTGGTAACTGTCTTCATGCCCTGCCCGTGACCCGGGTGGGGTTCTGAGAGTCGTAGGTAAGGATGGTCACCACTTTTGTCTATGATGGTCCTAATTCCTACAAGCCTTAGGCCAACACTTGAAGCGTGCGGCGTTCAGCTCTTTACTGCCTATCATTACACAAAGAAATGTTTTCTCATTTATTTTATTCACTTGACATCCTGTAGCCCCTTCCTGCCTCCCCTTCCAGTACCCCCTCTTTTCCTCCCCCTCCCCTTCCCATCCCCAGCTCATCAAGTTGTATCAGGATTGAGCATGTCTTCTTCCCTGGCCTGTCAAGGCAGTCCCGCCAGGAGAAAGTGATCAGAAAGCTGGCAAGTGAGTCCTTGTCCTATGCAGTCCCCTCTTCCCTTACTGGAGGACCCACATGAAGCCTAAGCTGCCATCTGCTACATCTTTGTAGGGGGCCGAGGTCCAGTTCATGCATGGTCCGTGGTTGATGCTTCAGACTCAGCGAGCCCCTCTGGGCCCTGGTTAGTTGGCCCTGTTGTTTTTCTTGTGGAGCTCCTGTCACCTCCTGGTCCTTTTCTCTTTCCTCCCAGTATTCCCCAAGACTCCCTATGCATCACCCAATGTTTGGCTCTGAATCTCAGCATCTGTTTTGAGGCACTTCTGGGTAGAGCCTATCAGAGGACAACTCTGACAGGCTCCTGTCTGCAAGCTTAGCAGAATATGGTCTATAGTGTCAGTGTTGTCACTCTCTGATAGGGTGAGTCTGGTTGGGCCAGGCATCTGCTTGGCATTCCCTCAATCTCTGCTCTAACTGCTCTGTCTTTATCCCTACACATCTCATAGGCAGGGTAAATTTGGGTTTGAAGTTTTTGTGGGTGGGTTGGTGTTCCTACCGTCTGCTAGGAGACTAGTCTAGTTAGAGGGTGTCCTCTTCAGGCTCTATGATCTCTGCTGCTAAGAGTCTCTGCTCAAACCCCCTCATATCCTCCCAGGAGCCTACCCTGACTTAGGTCTCCAGCTTGTCACAGAGATGCCCCCACTCTCAGTTCCTCTTTTCTCTACAGGCCTTCTGTCCTCTCGCCCTTGCTCTTCTCAGGTCTAATCTTCAAAATCTCAAGCAACAGCACATGCTGTTGAGGGTGTGGAGAAAGGGGAACCCTCCTCCATTACTGGTGAGAGTGTAAACTTGTACAAATACTTTGGAAATCAATCTGGCATTTTCTTAGAAAATTAGGAATAACTTTACCTCAAGACCTAGCTTTACCTCTCCTGGGCATATACCCAAAAGATACTCCACTATACAACAAGAACACCTGCTCAACTATGTTCATAGCAGCTTTATTCATAATAGCCAAAATCTTAAAACAACCCAGATGTCCCTCAACCAAAGAATGGATACAGAAATTGTGGCACATTTGCACAATGGAATACTATTCAGCTATTAAAAACAAAGAATTTATGAAGTTTGTAGGCAAATGGATAGAACTAGAAAAGATGATCCCGAGTGAGGTAACCCAGACTCAGAAAGACACATGTGGTTTATGCTCACTTATAAGTGGATTTTAGCCATATAGTATAGGATAAGTATACTATGAGGCACAGACCCAAAGAAGATAAGTAATAAGGAGTATCCAAGGGAGGAGGCCTAAACCTCACTCAGAAGGGGAGACAGAATAGACAGAGGTAGTTGCTGAAGAGAGGGAACAAGGTAGGAGAGGGGGCATAGAGAGCTAAGAGAGATGCTAACCAGGTTACCTGCTCTTGCACTAAGATCACTTCTGACAACCGATGTTCTTACACACTAACCCTTCTCCA